CTGAAATGGTAAATAATACTGCTATGCACATTGTTGTACAAGTTTCTATTTGTGCCTCAGTTCTCATTTTCTCAGGGTATATTCCAAGCAGTGGAATAGCTAGGTCATATGGAATTGCTTTGTTCAGCATTTGAGGAAGCACCAAACTGCCTTCCAGAATGGTTGTACCATTTTATAATGCTGCCAACAATGTATAAGAGTTCCCTTGTAACCATATTCTCTCCAACATTTATTACTTGATGCCCTGTTAAACTTTGCCACTGTTACTGGAGTGAGATGGTATCTCATTGTGGTTTTGATTTGCATCTCTCTTATTGTCAGGGATTTGGAGCATTTCTCCATGTGTATGTTTGCCATTGAAATATCTTCCTCTGTGAAAATTCTTTCCATGTCTGTTGCCCATTCTGTAATTTGGTTATCAGTCTTCTAGAGGCCCAGAAGTATTCTGTAGACTTTCATTATAAGACTCCTGTCTGAGGTGGTATTACCAAATGTTTGTTCCCAGTTTGGTAGGTTTTCTTTTCATCCTGTTGGAAAAAGTTTTTGATGCACACATGGACTTAATCTTTATAAGGTCCTATTAACCAATTTTATCCTCTATAGATTGTGCATTTCTGGCTGTATTTGGCAGTCTCTTTTCTGCTTTCTTGATGTTGAGATATACTCCATACTGAAGGCTGTAGTCTTTGATCTTATGCGGCAAGCAAAGTTATATTATCTGCATAATGCAGGTTGTTGATGAATCTTCTTCCAGTATTGATGCCACATTCTTCTTTATATAGTCCAGCTTCTCAAATAATTTGTTCAGCATACAGATTGAATAGGTATGAAGCTGTCATCTTCTATAGGTTTTTGTTTGTTTTATCACTGTTCATTAGAAATGATTTCCTCTACTGTATTCAGATGAGTTTCTAGGTCTAAGTATTGGTTTTGTATGGGCACAATTAATTGTTCTGGGATTCTCATTCTTTTTAATATTAATTCTAATTAGTTATTATCCATACAGTCCAGTGTCTTTAAGGACAGTGAGAACTGTGTTTTCAACTCAACACTGTTGTGTCGAAACTGATTCAGAACTGACTGTCCAGCCAGTTCTCAAGGCTGTAAAACTGCATGGGAGGAGAATGCCCATCTTCATCCCACTGAGCTGCTTGGTGCATTTGAACAGCCTAAGAAGTCTGGCCTTTGGTAGCACAACTTCCTAAAGAAGACTCCACTGAGCTCTCTTCACTTACTTTGCATGTGCCAATCCTATGCTTCTTTTCATAGTCTAAATTCAAGTGGTTGTCTCTGGAAAGGAATGTAGTATTTAAGGAGCATAGAAAACCTGTTCGCTGCCAATATTAAAACACAAATAAGTGGTTTTAATAATACTGCAGAGATTAGCCATATGTGGCAGAAGTGAAAGGCGTACTTAACCCATTAACCTCAAAGGAATACAGCTGGCAGAACTCAGAAATCTCTGATAACCATTATTAACTTGTAGGGTTTGGTCCAAAATTGTGTTTTTCCTGAGTGGAGAGAAGAGCTGCTAGATACAATTAAAGTGGGGACTGAGAAAAGGGAGAACAATTAAAAGAAGTAAGTAACACTATTTGTTTCTCTGCAATTTGAAAAAGCAAAACAAAGGCAATGTCCAAAAAATAACTGTAAAAATATGTTTGAGTAATCTTTTTTCATTCTTCACTAATATTTTGCTGTTGGAGAACAGTATTGAATATACTATGAACTACCTAAAGAACAAATATGTCTTGGAGATAATGTAACCAAGGTGGCTCCTTGGAGGCAAAGATGTGAAGTTTTACCTCACATATTTTGGGTATGTTGTTAGGAAGGGCCACTCCTGGGAACAGGATATCATGCTTGGTAAGCTGTCGGTTCAGCAAGAGAGAAAGACGCTGGATGAGATGGATTGATACAGTAACTGTAACAATGGACTCAAGTCTATCAGAGATGATGCGGATGGCACAGGATAGGGCAGGGTTGGTTCAGATCTGCTGTTCTCAGGGTCACTAGGAGTTGTAGTAGACCTGAGGACACCCAACAACAACCACAACACCTTGAAAAAGTAATTATTTTTTCTTGTAATGTGCTACTCATCTTTTTTAAATATTAGCAAAACACACGAGAGGGAATAACTCTTAATGAACAGTGATGATAAAACAAACAAACAAAAACCTATAGAAGATACAATAATCAATTTAGGGTTTTTTTCAAAGTTGAGAGCTTTAATTGGCCTATGGGTGGATCTGATGTGCAGTTAAATGCTGCATGTAATTAGGGTTGTGTATATAAACAAGACATTGCAGCTGAAACAGAATTATTCTATCGAGTAATATGCAACTCTGCCTAACCTTTTGCAAACTGCTGATTTTTCTTCTTCTGTGAATAATGTCATACTATAAAAAAAGAATGTCTCAGTACTGAGAGGCAAATAAAACTGACATTTTACATAATCTGTGTGTCCCTGCCTGTCTTTTAGTATTAACTTGACTGGTTCTCTCCCTTCATGTTACATAAGAAGTTGCTAAACTAGTCAACCAGAAGAAAGAATGAGAGGAAAAAATGCATTTTCATCTGGATTTCAAACGTTATTTCAAACTACTGATGGGAAATAATGGTAGTGGTTCACAAACTGAATGAGAGCAATGATAGGCATGATAAAATATCATATCACATGATCATTTAGCATTACCCTCAACAAGCAGGCATTTAGCATAATCATTTACTACAACTACCAGTCAGTAACAGCAACTGAGCCAAAACAAGTCTGTTTAATGTTTGCTATACTGGAAATAAGCCCTAATTTCTTTCCTGGAGGATTAGTTATTTTTTTTCTTTTTTAAAAAAATCAAACTGATTAAATAAAACAATTTGATTATGAATAATATACTAAGGAATATTTAATTACTCAACAAATCTAAAGATCATTGCCAGATTGCATGTGGAATATAATGAGCATAAAATAATTAAGTCAGAAGTGATTTAATAAGTAAGCCAAGTCTTTCTAGTGTCCTGATGGTGCAGTGGCTAAGCACTCAACTGCCAAGAAAAAGGCTGGTAGTTTTAATCCAGCAGCTGTCCCTCGGAATAAAGATGTGGCAATCTGCTTCCATAAAGAGTAATACTGAGAACAGTCTATAAGTCGATTCTACTCTCTCTTACAGGGTTGTTTTAAGTTGGGACAGACTCAAAGGCAATCCTTTTTTAAATTATTTCTTGTGTGTGTACCATCAAATCGGATCTGACTGGTACAGGAGTAGACTGTCCTTCCTTCCCTGGCAGAGCATCTGGTGGATTTGAACCGTGCACCTCTGGGATTGCAGTGCAGCTTCTTGCCACTAGGCCATCAGAGCTCATGGTAATCTTTTTTTTTTAAAAAAAATATGGTGGGAGGGAGTTGCATCTTCCTAGTTATTGAAATAAGTCTCTCTGAGAAAAGTGGTTTCTACTATTTAGTTGGAAATGAGCAAACAAGAATGTAAAGAGACAGTAGAAGGAAAACACGCCTAAGGATTGAGGCTGAAGAACATCTTACTTATTGCTTGACATGGCAGTAGGAAAGACCACACTCCCAAAGGGACAATACGTTTGCTGAGGGAGAAGGTCAGCAGGAATTAAGGAGATCCTCAATAATATGCTCTGATACAACGTCAACAGCGGACTCACTGGTAGAATGAGCACAGACAGTGCAGGACCAGGCACTGCTGCGTCCTGTTACCCGTAAGAGCACTAGGAGTCAGAGCCAAGTTGGTGGAAATCAAAATTAAAACATGGCAAATTGGGTGGGTATTTAGCTGCTAAAAAATGTGTCGTTGCTGTTGTTAGGTGCCATTGAACTGAATATGATTCATAGCAACTCTATGAAGAACAGGCCTGAACCCTGTCCTATTCTGTGCCATCCTCTTCATCTCTAATGTACTAAAGCCTTCTGCTGAGATCACCATGTCAATACACCTTGTTGAAGGTCGTCTTCTCTTTCACTAACCCTCTACCTTTCCCAGCATGACGTCAACCTTTCCCTGCAACATGCTCAAAGTATGTGAAATGAGGCTTCACCATCCTTGCCTCCCAGGATATCTCTGCACCTTCTCCATGACATATCCCTTCATTCTATGGCAGCCCATGGTATATTCAGTACTGTTCTGCAACATCACAGCTCAAAGGCATCAACTCTTCTCCTGACATCCTTATTCATTGTTCTGTTCTCAGATGACTGAAAAGATCATGGTCTGAATCAGGTACACCTTAGTCTTCAAGCTGGCATCTCTGCTCTTCAGTAATTTGGAGAGCTGCCTAACAGCAGACTTTCCAAATGCAATCTGTCTCCTGATCTTCTGACTAGGAGTATTGATTATGGATCTTATTTAGATTGTTTGCTGGCAAACAATTTCAATCTTTTCTCCATGTGTCATGATGTTGCCTATTAATCCTCTTCTCCCTATTTTCCACTAGTGCTTCCCTATGACCAAGAACTATTCTTCTAGGCTCTTCTTTCACCTACATAGTAGGTGGTTTTAAAACTGCACAATGTATTTTGTCAGAGACTGTTGATTTTATAGCTGGAAAATTGGAAATGCAAAAGGGTATAAAATTCAATCACAGTAACAAGGTGGTGGCAGTGCAGCTTGCAGTAAGGAAAACCTCTGAGGAAGGTCAATGCTAACCAGGCCAGTGGCAGGGGCTCATCTTCATCACCATATTTTCCAGAGAAAACTCTGAAATCTTAAGATACCATTCTCAACAACCTCAAGGTTAGAGAGACACCTTCCTGACCTACTAGTTACAATGGCCACTGACAAAAACTCTCACTTGGAGCGTGTGTTACAATCAAAACCATTCAAGATAAAATCAGGCTTGCAAAACCAGTATAAAAGAAACTTTCGCTTCTTCATGCAAATACATTATTTTTAAAGGAATGTGTTCTTTCAACATCAAGGGAGAACATCTGACATCAATTAACCCTCAAACAGTTTTCAGAAAAGAAGTAAACACATTACCTTTGAAGGTTTCAAGTTCCTTCCTGTAGAGAAAAAAGAAAATGGAAATGTAAAATAATGTGTTCCCAATGGAAATTTCTCTTATTGTAAGTGAATTTATTTACATTAAATGCCCAGAGTAGTATTTTTTAATGTCTATATATCAATAATACTTTGCTGAAATTATCAATACAATTAACTTGAAGTAACTTTTTCAATTAGTTCTGCCATTTCTCTACTGTCACCAAAAATGTCTACCAAAATTTAAGCCACTGAAACATTAATAAGAAAGGAGAATTTCATTGCTACCTACAAGCCATTGCAGAGTTTTAACATTCACTTTCCTCTATAGACAATGCAAAATTTATTTTGAAGACATTTGAAATTTGGAATTATTCAGAATAGAAGCAGTTATTTCTCCTTTCTAAGGAAAGGAGAAGGCACATATCAAAGAAATGAGGGCCATGGTTCATTCCACTATGAAAGGGGCAAGCCTTGAGGAAGTTCCCCTGGTTTATTTACTTTGTCAATGTCAATTAAGGATGCTGCTGGAACACTAAGTTTCCTGGGGAAATATACCCTCTAAAAAACAAAAATAAACACAAACCACTGCTATGGAGTAAATTCTACCAGGAACTTTATATGAGAAAGTAGAACTAGCCATTGCGTTTCCAAGGATATACATCTTTAAAGGCTGACTGTCAAATCCCTCCCCACAGGGAGACTGGTGGGTTTGAGACACAGGTCCTGAGATGAGCAGTCAATCACTTTAAACACTATACCACCAGCATTCCAGGGGAATATATAGCAGGAGGTAATAGATGAACAAATGTAAAGCAAAGCATTTACTGACAATTAAGTTAAAACAAGTTGGCTGAGGCTTTCCCTTCTGATTTTATATTATTTCTCCTGTTGTTATGTGCCATCTTACTAGTGTTTCTTTAATAAAGGTCTCTTTCTTCATATATAAGACAGTTATCTTTTATTTTCACTCTAGGTTTTACTAAAATTCTAGAGATAATTCCAATTCTCAAACCAGTGTGACTTATCATTAATTACAATGTCCCTCATGTTCTAAAATAGTTGACTAGAATTAACAGCTAGTAGGAAGGTCTGGCAAGATGCCAACTGAGAGACTAAGCAGATAATGTCTCTGCAAGAGTCAAAGTAAAGGTTCCTACGTTGAAGTGTCATCATACTTTTCTTTTCCTATGCATACTTATTTCACACAATAAGTTCCTTCACCATAGGTCAATAAACAGGGAAGAGTAAGTAACTTTCAGCTCCATCTTTTAAAATCATTTTTTTAAAAAAAGTCATACGATAGTTTCTCTTAAGACAACAGACCAATTCAATGAAAAAAAGCTTCATTTATAAATTATATTCAAAGTCACCATACCTAATGTAAAGGCACATTGTCAACATACATCAAAGAGTACACCATGAAAAGACACCTTCAGTTTACTGCTTACCAATAGTCTAACATTTGCAATTCCCTAAGGCCCCTTACGGCAATTTGACATAACACTCCAGTATCCTATTGAGTAATTATAATTTCTAGAATGACAATCTTTCATGGGTTAATTTTCCTCTTGTAGAATGTACGCTGTTGTTAAGGACCTTCACGTTGATCCTCCAGCAGGTTTCCAGAGGCAGTATATCACAAAGGAGGAGTCTGCTCCTCTTCTTCCTGTGGAGTGGGTGCATTCGAATGGCTTGGTAGCACAAATCTTTGCCACTAAGCCACCAGAGCTCCCTTTTAGAATTTATTGTTGTAGTTGTTTTTGTTATTATGCACAATCTAGTTAGAACTGACTCATAGCTGATCTTCCAACGGGTTTTCATAGGCAGTAAACTGCATGGGAGCTGAATGCCCATCTCTCTCCTGCAGAGCAGCTGGGGGATTCGAATCACGTGCCTTTAGGTTGTCAGCACAACCCTTACCACTAAGCCTTTTAGAAAGCGTAAAGGGTAAAATTTCTAAAGGGCACCATCTTTTCTTAAAGGGCTCTCTGGTGAAGTATCCATCAGGAGGTGTGATGCTAACCCAGAGGTAGCTCCTCTCTGGTGGTTCAAACCCACCAGCCACTCTAAGGGAAAAAGATGGGCACTCTCCTCCTGCTAAAGGGCCATCTGTTCAACAGAAATGGGTAACTGGTGAATTGCTTCTTCTTAAAAGCTGAAACTCAGGGAGCTCTCGTGGCCTAGTGGCAAGACACTGCACTACAATCCCAGAGGTACATGGTTCAAAGCCACTGGATGCTCTGCTGGAAAAGGAGGGGGCAATCTCCTCCTGTACCAGTCAGATCTGATTTGACGGTACACGTAAAAATAATAAAATAAAAATAAAAAGTTGAAACTCATGAGCTCTGGTGGCCTAGTAGCAAGAAGCCGCTCTGAAATCCTGAAGACACTTAGTTTGAATCCACCAGATTCTCCACTGGAGGAGGGGTAATCTCCTCTTATGCCTGTCAGATCCAATTCGATGGTACACAACAAGGAAAAAAGGGGGGGAGGGGAAGCTGAAACTCAAGAGTAATTATTGCATTCACACTGCTCTTTCTGTGTCCTCATCCACAAATACCAACACTATAACAATAACAAAACAAAACGAACCCTGTATCTATATCACTGATGAGGAAAACTGCCTTTCACATGCTGTAATCATGCTCATCTTTCAGCCTTCTGGCTCTCTCATCAAATGAGTAAGGAGCTGCTGCTCAAAAAAGGCAGGCCTAACGGGGTGTTATTTCTTGGTATCCTCTATTTACAGAATATTTTGACCCACATCCCTGCAAATGTTAATAGCAGTTTCAAAACTTCCTTTCAAAGAGTAAGTCATTCCTGTTCCCATGTCTTTAAAAAAAAAAAAAGATAGGCTATGGCAGAGATTATACAGGCAACAGTGGCTTGAAGTACATACTGTGTGAAGTTCTATAGAACTGATAAATTAATGCAGTGCCACTGAGACACTTGGCATTTCATGATTTTAGGGCATCTTCTCTCATTTCTTCTTCATAAAGTTCAGCTTCACAAATTCTTTGCTCAGCACACAGACTGAATAAGTATGGAGAAAGGATACAATCCTGTTACACAGCTTTCTTGATTTTAAACTACATAGTGGTTCTTGGTTTTTGCAATCACTTGTTATGCATCAGAGAGCTGGACAATGACTAGGGAGGATAGAAGGAGAATTGACGCCTTTGAGCTGTGGTGCTGGAGAAGAGTATTGAATGTACCATGGACTGCCAAGAAAACAAACAGATTCATCCAAGAGAGGGTTAAACCAGGCTACTCCTTGGGGGCAAGGATTCTGGGGCTTCGTCTGACATACTTTGGACATGTTGTAAGGAGAGACAGGTCTTTAGAGAGGGACATCATGCTGGGTAGAGTAGAGGGACAGTGCAGGAGGGGAAGACCCTCTATGAGGTGGATTGATTCAGTGACTGGGGTAATTGGGATGGGTGTGTCAGAGGCAATGCGACTGGCACAGGATAGAGCAGGGCTTAGGGCTGTTGTACATAGGGTCGCTATGAGTCACAAACGACTCGACGGCACATAACAACAACAACAACAGTGGTCCTTTGCTCTGTTCAGACAAAAGCTTCTTGGTTGGTGTTTTGCAGAGCACAGTTAGTGTTCTGGGATACCCATTGTTCTCAATGTTAGCTGTAATTTGTTATGATCCACACAGTCAAGTGCCTTTACATAATTAATAAAACACAAGTAAATATCTTTCTAATATTCTCTATTTTCAACCAAGATTCATCTGATATCTGCAATGACGTCACTCCAGTTATGGCCTCTTTTAAATCCAGCTTGAATTTCTGACAGTTCCCTGCTGATGTACTGTTTCAGCCATTTTTAATAATAATTGCTGTATGTTGTATTGTTATTATGTGCCATCAAGTCGCTTGTGACTAATAGCATCCCTACGTACAAGAGCCCTAAACCCTGCTCTATCCTGTGCCAACCTCACTGTCTCTGACATACCTACTCCCACTACCCCAATCACTAAATTGATCCATATCATCGAGGGTCTTCCTCTCCTGTGCCATCCCTCCACTCTCCCAAATATGATGCCCTTCTCCAAGGACTGGTCCCCTCCTTGCAACACACCCAAAGTATGTCAGACAAAACTTCAGAATCCTTGCATCCAAGAAACAGCCCGTTTAACCCTCTCCAGGATGAACCTGTTTGTTCTCCTAGCAGTCCAGGGTATATTCAACACTCTTCTTCAGCACCACAGCTCAAAGGCATCAATTCTCTTTCTATCATCCCTAGTCATAATAAAGAAGATGAACTATATGAAGAAGAATGTGGCATCAGGATTAGAGGAAGACTCATCAACAACCTGCTTTATAAAGATGATACAACCTTGCTTGCAGAAAGTGAAGAAGACTTTAAACAACTGCTGCAAAAGAGCAGACTACAGACTTCATTATCGGTTACATCTCAAGATCAAGAAAATAAAAATCGGAAGCTCTGGTGGCCTAGTGGCAAGAAGCTGCACTGTAATCCCAAAAGGTGCACAGTTTGAATCCAGCACATGCTCTGCTGGAAAAGGAGGGACCATTCCCTCCTGTACCAGTCAGATCTGATTTGATGATACACACTCAAAAAATAAAATAATTTTTTTTTCCTAAAAAGAAAACAAAAATCCTCACCAGTGGACCAATACACAACATCATGAAGATGGAAAAGAGATTGAAGTTGTCAATGATTTCATTTTACTTGTATCCACAATCAACACCCATGGTAGCAGCAGTTAAAAAATCAAAAGCCATGTTGCATTGGTGAAATCTGCTGTCAAGGATCTCTCCTAGATTTTTAAGAGCTCTGGTGGCCTAGTGGCAAGAAGCTATGCTGCAATCCCAAAGGCACACAGTTCGAGGCCACCAGCTCTCTGTGGGAGAAGGATGGGTAATCACCTCCCATGTGATTAACTGCCTCTGAAAACCTACTGGAGGGTCAGCTATGGGTTGGTCCTGACTCTGGCACACAACAACAGTATTGTTAGTTTAAAGAACAAGGCATTTCTCCA